CCAAGTTTTCCTAGAAATTTCGCCCACACGAAATTGCTATTTTCGGGTATTATTTGGGTAACACAGTAGAAGACCGTGGAACGCTCGAGGATCACGATTGTGCGAGTGATGGAGATTTCATTGAGAAGTTATGGAACTGAAGGCTCACGTGGTAGAAGAGATATGTTCACGCTTTAAGAGGTAACCCGTGAAATCCCGTTTATGCTAGTTGTCTAAGTTACATGTGATTTTGATACTGGGATTGCTTCCGCTGCATATAATAATCCATCACCCGTAACATAACACAAACCTACTCGGAGTCTCAAATTACATCAAATGGCGCTGAAATTACAAGTCGCGCCTCGAATCAAATTATGAGTCTTTAAATTTTCAAATTCTATATATCTTGTGCCGAAACGTATCAAATCAATCCAGAATGGCTTCAAATTTTGCAAACAAGTCATAAATGATGTAATGGAGCTATTCCAATTTTCGAAATCGAAATACGAACCCGTTATCAATAACGCCAACCTTCGGTCAGACTTATAAATATTTCAAAACTCCAACTTTTCTAATTTTCGCCAAAATGTGTCGAATTGTCCTACAGACCTCTAAATTCAAATTCGGACAGCCGTTGAAATTATAAATTTTTTATTCCGGAGTCGTTTGCTCAAAAGTCACTCCGAAATCACTATACAAAGCCGTTGAAATTATAAATTTTTTATTCCGGAGTCGTTTGCTCAAAAGTCAAACTCCAGCCAACTCTTTCGCTTAAGCTTCAAAAATGAGAATTGTTCTTTCAATTTAATCTCGTATCATCCGAAAACCAAACTCGACCACACACGCAAGTCATAATACAAATTACAAAGCTGCTTAGGACCTTAAGCTGCTGAACTGGACGTTAATTTTCAAAATGACAAGTCGGTCGTTAGAAGATACTATATAATTGTATCCTGGTTCATTCTCAATGAATCGTTTGGCTTAGATACAAGTTATGAGAAACTAATCCATAGATTATTCTTTTGTTTAGTTTGAAATATTACAAATTGAATTAATATACAATGTATAATTTGATATGTCTTTACTTTTTAAACTAATAAAAGTTTGTTTATTATTATGAAGTTAGTTTTGTCATTTTAGTATTTTTAACCCATGTTTATCATTTTAGAAAGTGTCACTGTTACTGAAAGGTAAATTTTATAGGGCAGTGGTTAGGTCTGCTATGTTGTATGGGACCGAGTGTTGGCCGTTGAAGATCTCACACATCCAGAGGATGAAAGTTGCAGAGATGAGGATGTTGAGGTGGATGTGCGGGCATACAAGGAAGGATAAGATTAGAAATGAAGATATTCGGGAGAAGGTAGGTGTGACCCCCAAGGAGGACAAGATGCGGGAAGCAAGACTCAGATGGTTCGGGCACATTCAGAGGAGGAACACTGATGCACCGGTGAGAATGTGTGAACGACTAGCGGTGGTGGGTACGCGGAGAGGTAGAGGGAGACCTAAGAAGTATTGGGGAGAGGTGATCAGGCAGGATATGGCGCGACTTAGGGTTACTGAGGACATGGCCCTAAACAGGGAATTGTGGAGATCGAGCATTAAGGTTGTAGGTTAGGGGAAATTGTGATGTCTTTTTTACAGCGCACTAGAGTGAGACTAGCCAGTTAGGAGTTAGGATGCTATTGATCAACTACTGATGATGGACTTTATCTGATGTGTATTAATATCTTACATCTTTCTCGTATTTCCTATATCTCTTATATTGCTGTTACTTTGTTTTTATGGTATTTATGTTATGTTATGAATTTTATGGTATTTTATGTTGTTTTATTATGAGTCTATTGATAGTACTAATATAGTGTCTCTTGTTGCCTCTTTGAGCCGAGGGTCTCCTGGAAACAGCCTCTCTGCCCCTCGGGTAGAGGTAAGGTCTGCATACATATTACCCTTCCCAGACCCCACTTCTGGGATTACACTGGATTGTTGTTGTTGTTGTATTACATATATAATACTCGCATTTTTATATATTCCATATTCTGTTGCACAAAACGTGGTGTCAGGGCCTGTTTGAGAACATACGAAATGCAAAAAAAGAATGCTACGAGCACATATGTAATGCAAAAGGATGCTAAGTTATTGCTCAAAGTCTTAAATATAAAACAGTACGAAGATAAAACAGATCAGTTGCAACAGAGGTAAACAAATAGGAGTAGTTCATCATTAGGAATTAAACGTTCATTATTATTTAATTTTTTCCATCTCCATCCTGGCTAGCTCTATCATATCACCTGAAACCAGCAAATTAACCACAGAATTAATGAGGTGATTTGTAATAACCATACAAATGTATAAAACTTAGTTTAGACCATAAGTTTTAGTTTTTTTTTATATTTTTCTTTAATTTTGTGCCAAATCAAACAGTGCCATATAAATTGAGACGGAGTAATTAATAATTTTATATTATATGGTGATATTTCACTAGTATGGTATTTTGAAAAGAAAAATAAAAATTAGAAAGACGAATTTGGTGCATACAAAGGCATCCTATATACCCGATAACCCGACTATGCTATTTCTATCACTATAATAGAGCATTCTAGTCAGAGGCGGATCCATGATTTGGAGTTTATGGGTTGCTCTGCAATCTTAAATTAATATACAACAATAATTGAGTTCACAGTTAGATATTTAGTGAATTTCTTAATAGAAATACAGGATCTATGCAAAAGTTACTTAAGTTCCCGGGAATTCATATACAATGCTCTAGATCCGCAACTGATTCTAGTAGCTAGGATAAAATGGATGGTTTAATATATTAAAGAGTTTCTAAAAATAAAAGTATGTCATTTTATATTTTTTACGAGATTAAAAAAAAGAGTGTCGTATAAAATGAAATATATGGCTCAAGGTTGAGTAGATTAAAAGGGGATGGCTGAACTTACTTGCACTTTTTTACAAGGATTGCTAACATCACAATAAGCCTGAAGAGTAATCAAAGCTTGATTGTCTAATAACATGGCATAAGCATAACAAGGGCAACTCTTGCCCAATATGCTTTGGAATGTTGGGCAACATGCATCTATGGAGGTTGTGTTTGTCATGCATTTTTTAACCTTTGCTTCATCACTAGCACTGCATTTTGGCTGTGGCCGAGGGCGCAGGCGGGCGGTGGCAGCAATGGTGGCGACCGCCTCTGCTGCCACTCTCTGCAGGTACATTTTTCACAAAAGGTTTTGTGAGGTTCCAGCAAAAATACCAACAACAACAATTACGCCTCGGTCTCAAACAAATTAGGGTTCCAACAAAAAGGCTTTGTGATGTTCCAGCAACAAGAGTAATAAGTAATCAATAATTACTCTTTTTGTGTTTTGTTCAATGCATTCAGGGTCGAAACCCACTGACTATTCCAGATTCGTATTGCATAAGGTCCACTAAAAGAAAAAACGCTCCCTATAACATCGATTGATTCAATTTAGTTGTCCAACTATTCGATTTGTTCAGTTTTCGATTTTTGTTTAGGTGAACCAAAAACCAAATCAAAATTCAAAATTAATTCAGTTTTTTGGGTTCTAAAAGCTTTATTTGGTCGGTTTTGCTTGCACTCTATATCCAATTAAATACCGTCAAATAATTGAATAGATAACCTATAACAATATGCGAGAATGAAGGAGAGCCTTGACGTAACTGATGAAATTGCTGTTATGTGACCAGAAAATCATGAGTTCGAGCTGTTGAAAACAACCTCCTATAGAAATGCAGGATAAAGCTGTGTAGAATAGACCATTGTGGTCCGATTCTTCCCGGAACCCCAAGAAGGGCAAGAATGCGGAAAAGAAGCTCAACAAAGATATAAAAGACCAAATATCGTAAATATAATTCTTTTTTCAACTTTCTAAATGCTTTTATGTGAAGCAGAGAGAAGAAGGAACTTACTTGGACACTCTTACATGGATTATTGACATCACAATAAGCCTGAAGAGTAATTAAAGCTTGATTATCCAAATCTTTGGCATAACGATAACACTTACAATTAGTGCCAATTGTCCTCTTAAATAATGTACAACATTTATCTATAGAGGCTGTAGTTGTCATACACTTCTTTATTTTCGATTTATCGCTGTTACTACAACTAGGCAGGCTAGCACGTGACAGCGAATAGGTGGCGAGATCTTCCGCCACCACTGTATGATGGCTGCAAAGTGCTATTGCAGCCATCACGAACATAAAAACCACCCACCCTCTATTCATTCTCGCGATCTTATCTTATTTATTTTCTCTCGAGCTAAAGTTTTTTGAGTTTTACAGGATAGCTAGTAGCTCTTCTATATATGCACAAAAAATTGGACTAGTGTTACTATTTTAGAAAGTAGTTTATAACAAGTGGATTAAAAAATCAAAAAGGTGACAACAAGTGGACATAATAATATGTAAAGTTAAACACATGCGTGTACAAAGTGGAAAAGGTAATTAATTTTTAAAATGTTAGGTTAGGATTTATTAATCACGTTTCCCTATTTTAGATCTAAGTCTAAAGATATTGTCGAAAACAACATCATGTTTTCCACTTTCCACATTCTCCAACGTACAAAAGTTAAATCATATACAGATGCTCGAAAATAAGAAATTTTTTAGTTGTTTTGCACAAATTAAGAAACTTATTTTTTAATATTAATAGCAATAAAATTGATCATATAAACCTTTATTATCTTTTCACATAAACACTCCTAACACATACTTCAACACTATTTCTTTCAAGGTTAATGTAAGAAAAAATAATTAATTCATTCTTAAAATCTGGAAAAATTATTTATTTTGGATCACAAAAAAAGACCATAAAATTACTTATTTTCAACCGGAGCGAGTATTAAGAGATTCCCCTTGCCCCTTGTCATCTTTGGTAAAAAAAAAAATAGAGAAAAATATTTAAATTAGAGATTATTTGGGAGTATTCTCCATTATCCTCGTAATTTACAAATTAATTATAGAAGTTAAATAATAATTTATTATTTTCGAATATTATGGATGCCAACTTAGGCTATAATTGCTGACGAGAGCCCACGTTGGGAGTAGGGTGCACGTGAATCATGTCTTTGTGGATATAGAGACAGATGTATTAGCATTTGAATTTGGGAAATTTTCGTTCCATTGGATATAGAAAATTATATTACCAAATATGTTCATAGTTTTCATATTACCTTTCATGCTAATAGTATTTCTATATAATATATATAATGCATTAAATAAGGAATTATTATAGATGTAGGATTTCTTATTTAGGCGCGCTAAAAAAAGGGAATTAAATATTTTTCAGATCTTCCAACGCAGATCACGCACAGTAATCACTATCGTCGACTTCTTTACCAAATTTCCGTACTCTATTTTGCGCTAAACTCTATTTCAACATTTTCTCTGATTTCACAAATCAAAATCGATAAAATCTTCTACAATTCTTCTGCAACAAAAGTAATTATGGCGAAAATACAAAGCAAAGGAAAAGAGAACAGCAATTCTACCATTGACAACCATTAAAAAGCTTTTAACCTTTGAATTCAAATTTTGGGTTTTCAAAAATCATTATTTGTTTGGATTAGGTGTTGTTGAAAATAATTGGGAATATGGTTTGGAGTTTATATCTCAATTTTGAGGGGTTTTGGTGAAGATTAGACTTGGTTTTGACTGAATTTCAGATTGAAACTCGAAGAAAAAGAAGAAGAAGAAGAAGAAGAAGAAGAAGAAGAAGAAGAAGAAGAAGAAGAAGAAGAAGAAGAAGAAGACGTATATTGCAGAAATTGTAGAAAAATTGTAGAGGAGTTATTTATTTGTTTTTCTTTTATCCATTTACCTATGTATGAAAGTTGAACAATATTGTATAAAAATTGTATTTAAGTGGATGATTTAGTACTATTTTGGACAAAAATATGTATAAAAAATGCGAAACATACATTTCAGGGGAAGCATTTCGAGTCCAAATATGTACCCAGTTTGTACATATTTTGTAGATAAATTGTAGATTATTTGTATTCTGATTGTAGATGCTTTATTTTTTGTTTTCACAAATAAAAAAGTGACTAAAACTTCTACAAATCTTCTGAAAAAACGCAATTATGTCAAAAATCCCATTTATGCTACAATTGAATGAGAATTGGGATATTAAAATTCAATGTACCCAGTTTGTAGATATTTTGTAGATAAATTGTAGATTATTTGTGTTCTGATTGTAGATGCTTTATTTTATGTTTTCACAAATAAAAAATGACTAAAACTTCTACAAATCTTCTGAAAAAACGCAATTATGTCAAAAATCCCAATTATGCTACAATTGAATGGGAATTGGGATATTAAAATTCAATGTACCCAGTTTGTAGATATTTTGTAGATAAATTGTAGATTATTTATATTCTGATTATAGATGCTTTGTTTTCTGTTTTCACAAATCAAAAACAACTAAAACTTCTACAAATCTTCTGCAAAATATAATTATGTCGAAATTTCCAATTATGTTACAATTGAATGAGAATTGGGATATTAAAATTCAATGTACCCAGTTTGTAGATATTTTATCGATAAATTGTAGATTATTTGTATTCTGATTGTAGATGCTTTGTTTTCTGTTTTCATAAATCAAAAACGATTAAAACTTCTACAAATCTTCTGCAAAAAATGCAATTATGTCGAAAATCCCGATTATGCTACAATTCTGTGATTCTCTTATATGCTTTTGTTACTCCTTACGAAACTGTTATGCTAAATATGGAATCCAAAAAACATTTCTGCAATTTTTCTTCAAGAAAAATAAATAAACAACAGTCTACAATTTTTCTACAATTTCTGCAATATACGTATTCTTCTTCTTCTTCAAATTTCAATCTGAAATTCTAGCCCAAACCAAGTCTAACCTTCATCAAAACCCCTCAAAATTAAGATATAAACTCCAAACCATATTCCCAATTACTTACAACAACACCCAATCCAAACAAATAATGATTTTTGAAAACCCAAATTTGAATTCANAAATTGGTGATTAGGTATACTAAATGTAATTATATCAAACCTTAAACATTGAGGATAATATAGTTTCTTATATGGCATAGGAATGTAAAAATTCTATGGTCCGAGTTCGGATTCTATCATTTGGTTTATTAGATTCATAATCTATTATTTATAATTATTTAGTGAAGTTATTAAAATACAAGATATGAATTAAAGAAGTCCAAATGAACCCGTAATTTGTGCACTAATCCGCCCATATATGAGAGATTATCCGCCCTTAAAATTGGAGGATAGTGATTGACTCTCGGACAAACAATGGCAAAATCAAAAATACATACAAGGGGATTTAAAGAAATTTTAAGATGTCAAAAAATAGGGAGAAATTCAAAAATAGCCAGATTTACAAGTGGTCATTTAAAAATAGCCACAGTTTCAAAAGTAATCGAAATTTAGCCACTTTTCATGTAAAGATAAATTTGAATGAAAATATTGTTCAAAATCCGGAAAATACTCCAGTATAATATACTGGACTTCCAGCATAATATACTGGAGTTTTAGTATAATATACCGGTCCAACATAATATGCTGGAAGTTCATACACAAGTGCTCTAATCTCCAGTATATTATGCTGGAACTTTCCGCGTGTTGGAGTTCCAGCATAATATACTGGAGTTTTAGTATAATATACCGGTCCAACATAATATGCTGGAAGTTCATACACAAGTGCTCTAATCTCCAGTATATTATGCTGGAACTTTCCGCGTGTTGGAGTTCCAGCATAATATACTAGAAGTTCATACACAGGTGCACCGATCTCCAATATATTATGCTGGAACTTTCCATATTGCAGCAGTGACTATTTTTCAATAACTTTACAAATATTGACTATTTTGGAGTGACCAGACCGAAAACTGGCTTGCCCGTCCTATTTTTACCCAATAATATGGTGATTTAAAGCAAATGCAACTGATCAACGTGCATGATTTTTCATTTATTGCTTTAAAAGAAAGGCATATTCCCTTCTCCATATAGTGCCGTATACTAGCCGAGAAAAGGTATGTTTTTGGGATTTAATAACATAAATATTTTTACACTATCAAAATATTTAAACTTGTTATAACAAGTAAATTTTTTCTTATTTTTTAGGTCATAACTAATCTTAGTTTCTATTGACATTTACCTATAATTATCCAATCAAATGCTGACATAAAATTAACCGCAGGGAGCCAGGGAGTATATAACGCCCTGAATACTCGAATCTTAACACTTATATATACATGATACAATTTCCATTTTCATTTTCTTAGAAAATAATATCCTATTGCAGAAATGTAGGATAAGACTGCGTATGTATATGTCAAAATCTGACCATAGTGGTCGATCAAGCTGGGATCTCGTCCAGGTGGCGAAACAGCAAAGAACACCACAACCGACCTCAGGATCAAATCATCGACGGCGTATATCAAGTCAATACTGAACACGAATAATGACGACAAGGACAGTTGCAGGAAAGCATGTTGGTAAAAGACCATTGAATAGAAGTTCAAAGAACTATATATAGATGGGGGTAAGCACTAACAAAGGGGATTTTCTCTCGAGAAAAAAAGAGAAAAGGAGACATGAAAGGAAAAACAAGGAAAATAAGAGGGAAAGAAGAATCTCTGGCAAACGAACAATGGCTTCAGTTTTTCCTCTTTACTCTTTCATTTATAATTCTTGTTGGCTCCAGATATGAACTCCCCGTGTTTGAAGTAAGATTACGATATTGATAAATCTAATATGTTCCTACCTTTGTTATTTCTCGTTGTATATGTTTGGATCTAGGATTAATTATGTTTAGCTAAGATTTATCTCCTTTAGTATTGATAATTGAAGTTGGCAAACTTTTTGCTGAAACAATTTGGCGCCGTCTATGAGGATTTCTTAGCCAAATTCCTTAGTTTCCTTCAGATTCAAAACCGGCGAAATGTAACCACCCACCCCAAAAAGTGATAAACAAACCTCACATGTTGATCTAGATCAGGCTGCTACATAAAAGCAAAAGTTACAACCAGTATCCACGCAAAGCCCATATGAGAGGACGACACCTGCTGCAAAATCATGTAAGAGAATGGGCACTTCCTGCCCCACTCTCACATCCCCCCGCACATCGAATGATCTATGAACAAAGTACATGTTTCCCTTGTTATGGGTACGGACCAGACGAGAACGAATCGAGACTCGATTTCAACACCTCAGCAGTTAAGGAGAACCCAACCCACGCGGAGCTAGGGCACCCCCCAAAAAAG